TCTTTATGAAACCGGTTTTGGTTTGAATGTTTTTGTCAATTTAATGCATGTAAGACGTGGGTAATAAATAAAATACCACACTCGGTCTCATTACATACGAATTATACGAAACTCGTGACCTTCCTATGTTATCTAACCTCGCTTTCGCTCGGTCAGATACCATAGGAAGGACACTCGTTTCGTATAATTCGTATGTAATGAGACCTCGTGTAGTATTCTCTATGTATGAACAGTAAATGTAGAACTTTAATAACAAATATACTTCAGTATTTGTCTGCAGATGCAATCAGTGCGCGTATTAATACATACAAACTTGAAGAGCCGCCATTGTTTGGTTGTAAACAAAGCTAGGAATCAGTCCGACAAAAAACATCAAAATAACAACTTTGAAGCAATGAAGAGTGAACGTAGCATATGGAATTCAGTCAATTATCCCCTTAGGTAAGTTCATCATATTTATTGATACATGTCACTTTTGTCGGAGGCCATTTTGCTCTCACTGGATGCAGCGGCTTGTAGCCCAACACGCATGGTCGACTGCGAGAGGGACACTGTGTCTTTCGGAGGAAAAAGTAGCGAATTCCAGGCAAAAGTGATATTCTATTCAGTGAAATATCATGTATTCCACTCAGTGAAAATACCACTTATATTTTCACCAATATTTTCAGTATTTCACCCTTTCGTTATTTAAATCAGGGCCAAGAAATAGTCATCCCAAACAACTACAGAGGCATATCTCTCCTGAACTGCTGTGGTAAGACATTTATCATTATTTATAGAAAAACGGTTTCGAATTTGATAGATATTAATGAACTGATTGCTGAATCTCAACTTGGTTTTAGCTCACAGTATTCCACTGTAGACCAAGTATTTACTTTACAATAGGCTTTATGTACAAAATATCTGAGTAAGCACAAAGGTAGATTTTACTGTGGATTTATAGATATTAAAAAGGCCTTTGACCTCGTTGACAGAAGAAAAGTGTTATATCTCCTTGTGAAAAATTGATGTCATGGTATAATCTATAATGTCTTTCAGTACATCAACTGGAGTTAAACAAGGGTGTATTTTAAGTCCTGTATTATTTATGTTCTTTATCAATTAACTTGTACATGAAATATATAACGTTTGTAATTATGGTATAGTTGTATTGATGTTGTTGTTATTTGCAGATGATGGGGGGTGGGTGGGGGTGGGGGTGTTTCGCTTTCCACTGTTGGCCTACAAAGGCAATTAGATGTCGTATTTGAGTATTGTTCGAAATGGGGACTGAGTATAAACATGGACAAATCAAACATAATTGTTTTAAGAAATGGAGGTATACTTTCCAAACATGTAAATTAATTTAAATCTTGAAACTGTAATTTATTACAAGTACCTGGGATTGTGTTTTCATCAATATCGATATGGACAAAAGCCTGTAAAACTTTGGTTATGCAAGCACGTGAAACAATGGAACCAGTGTTAATTTCGTTGAATAATAAACTGCCTATCAAACAAGTACCACGAAGTTATAGAAAAAGTACAAACAAGCTTCTTTAAACGATTTCTGTGGGTGGGGAAATATGCTGCAAATAAAGCTATTCTTGGAGAAACATGACGGCACTGTTATAAACACGACGACAAAAGTTATAAAATATTGGATTAAGTTATTAAGAATGAATGTTTCAAGTCATCCTTTACATTGTTATGAAATGCTTAAATTACATGACGAGCATTGTAAAGTTAACAGGGTTTCTCACGTTCGTGAGATGTTATTTACAAGTGGTTTTAGCTGTGCATGAATTCTGCAAGATGTTGGTGATGCCACTATTTTTATATGTACATTCAGAAGACGTTTGATTGATATGTACATTCAATCCTGGCAGCAAAGTATTGAATCATCATCATATTTGTCACACTATCCTACTATACTCGTCACGATATGGCTGAAATATTGCCGATGTGACGTTAAATAATAACTCACTCACTCACTCACTCACTATCCTACTATAAAGAACTTATTCCAATGCGAAACATATATCCATAAACTTGATAATAGAAACTTAGGTTGATCCATGTGTAAATTTCGTACATTCAGAGTTCATGATTTCAGAGTTCATCAACAACGTAAAAGGAAAGCCAATGACAATTCTGATATAGAATCTATTTGTTTGCACTGTGATATGAATGTTGTAGAAATTGAATACCATGTTTACTCCATTTGTAATAGATATCTTCTCCGTAACGAATACTTCTTGACCATCCTAAAATATTAGATTAGATTAACATTACAACAAATATTAAACACACCTGATGTACATATACGAGTCAGTGAGTGAGTTGAGTTTTACGCCACACTCAGCAATATTCCAGCTACAAGGCGGCGGTCAGTAAATAATCGAGTCTGAACCAGACAATCCAGTGAACAACAGCATGAGCATCGATTACGCAATTTGGAACCGATGACATGTGTCAACCAAGCCAGCGAGCCTGACACCCGATCCCGTTAGTCGCCTCTTACGACAAGCATGGGTTACTGAAGGGTCATTCTAACTCGGACCTTCACGTGTAGTGTACATATACTACGTTTAACCTCTATATAGTCGCTAAACATATTAAGCTTAAGATCTTCTTAATATATCTTGGTCTTGCTTTTACCTCATAATACAATTGTACTATGGGCCATTTGGCCTAAAATACGGAATGAACTTGACTGATTGATCTTGATTCAAGTGTTTAGAGTACCATCATATAACGATTACAGGTTAAAGCAAACATGATTTGGGTTTAACGATATATGTTTGTACTACTTACCTTTCATGGTAATAAACCATAGCTCTTATTGATATTTTTGTTTGATTGTCGTTTAACGCCGCTCTAATTATTTCAATCATTTAACGATGTATTGTACATAGCCAAGTCATCAATCCAGTGATTGACATCATTACTAGTCCGCGCAGTTGGAATATCTCATTTACATGTATGCTGCACTGTTGTGCAATAATGATTGTTAAAGTTTAATGACTAGTGTTGTGGGAATTACATTTGAAATACGTTCTCGTATGATTCTTCGGGCAAGTAAAATTCAGTGTGTTAAGTCCGTTTCTATCCATTCATAATGCCCACAACTCATGTTTTCAAAGGGGCCCACCAAGTTTGCTATGCCGATGAAGAATGTGTTCTCAGTGGAACCATTGAAAACTTGTAAAAATCCCTGTTTAGAGAGTAAAAAGTAAACAGAGTGTTGGTATGATGCAAACTCTTCAGTCCTTCGATCGCATTGTCCGGTAGGTCTACATTGAAAGGTCTTTGTAGAAAACTGTGTTAGATGTAGTATTCAAATGATTACTTATAAGGACAAATTTACAATATATAGGTGCATTTTAATTGAAGCACTGACGAAAACATTAATGTTAGCACAGATGTCAACCTGTCTTCTAATATGATAATTATGCCTGTGTGTAGTTGTATGCATAGTATGTTTTGTTTTGTGTTGTTGTTGTTTTTGTTTAACGTCTCACTCGACCATATTCCTCTATATGGCGGTGGTGTGTAAATCCAGTCTGGACCAGACAATCCAGTGATCAATAGCATGAGCATCGATCTACATAATCGGGATACGATAACACGTGTCAACAAAAGTCAGCGAACCTGACCAGCAAGCCTGACCACTCGAACGCCTCTTACGAGAAGTAATATCTAAATTTAATATCTAAATTGTAGATGAACTTGATTATGTTATTTAACCATGTATTCCCGCAACAATTTCTTTTAAGTAACCTGTGGATAGATAATTGTAGGTGTGTAAAAATATACTGGTTCAGTGAAAACGGAGGTATGGAATGAATTTGCAACGCCAGCATCGAAAAATTCAACACCAAAACGACCTCTCCGAATCTGACTGGGGAGGTATGGTTCTTGTAAAAATGCAAATGCACAAAATTCTTTACCACTCTGATACATGTTCCTTGTTTACACAACAAAGGCCAGAAACTTGAAAAATACCATTGTTGTCCATCCTACGTGCCCTTTCCCCTGTATTTGCGTGTATGGGTCAACACGTGAGGCACCAGATACACTAGAGGTAATAACCGCTTCATTTCTCCATTCCAGTTTGCAATGAAAGCATCTACATGCTCGGAATCTGGGCTAAAATATCCAGAGTCTAAACGTCTAATCTTCTTATGGGAAGAAGACAAAAGATCTATTGAATGATGTCCCAGTTTGCTCGAAACCTCTGCCAAATGTTTAATGACAAACCTTGCAAATAGCAGCGACAAAACACTTTCAACATCCATAAGATACCTCTGCTAAAATCAGGGTCGAGTGTACAGTTGGGACTATACCAAGAGTATCTTTATATTTCAGCACGATTACAGCTGTACGATGTGGTTTGTAAACAAACAATAGAATATGGACCAGACAATCCAGTGATTGATACCATGCAATACGATGACAGGGAATGTGTTGAATCACTATCAAATAGGCATGATACCAGGTGTTCGCAAAAGGGGATTTGGCTATTGATGATTATTGAATAGTATTAGATCATCGATATACCTTAAGTTTAAGTCTTGGCCAAATGACCTTGTTTTAATTTTGCCACCCCGGGCAGAAATTCCAATTCACATGCACAAAGTAACATATCAGCAGGGAGGGAAGCATAATTGGTTCCAATGGGGATGTTTTACCCAAAACTTTATAAAGATGTTATCAATGAGAAATTCACATAATGCGTTGGCTTCTTTCTGAGCAGCAATTTGTGTTAATTATAGCAAACATGATAAGCACATAAAATCAGTGCTCCTTACCTATTACCATTGTATCTGTATATAATAAAACAAACATAATCGTATTGTAAGTTTCAAAGACAATAGGCGTGGTAGGTCAGGTAATGCATTGATTTATTCATATGATTTACCTTGCCATTTTGACTCAAGGGGCAGTCGAGACGTCAGGACCTTTTATTCTCTGACGTTAACATTCTAATAAAGACAGTTGGCATGGTAGGCGTGTCTTTATGTCGTCAGCATCCCAAGAACCACCACTGTGAGACCACTACTGAACACAATGAAGCATGCAAAACAGATCCTGTTAAGTTCAGTTTCAATATCTGGCCACTTTGGCCTCGTCGGCTCGTCATCCTGAACATTGTCGCTAACAATATCAACTTTATGTAATGCCTTCTTACACATTCTTACGATCCATTTCGGTGGTGGCTTCTCTTTCATTTTGAGGAGGAGGATGTTGACAACGACGATGACGACACTGGTGAAGTTGGCCAGAGACACGTAGAGGCCGAAGAGGCTGACGGTCAGGGAGTTCTCTGGCAGGGAGTCTCTGATGATGGAGAGAAACAGTTGGAAGCTGAGGAGGATAGACACGGCCATGCTGGTCTTCTCTCCGCTCTGTGAAGGCAGCAGGAACACGAAGCTGTTGAGGAAGTGGAGGAGCACCACGGGGAGCAGGATGGTGAAGATGTAGAACAGAGGACGTCTTTTCAAGTTGATGGTTATAAGGAATCTCGCATTTGTATTACGGTTACGGAGTTGTTTTCCCGTGATGTTTTCTGTAGAGATCTCAAACTCACTATTTTCTTCAAATTGTTCCATATTAATGTCTGTTTCCCTTGAGATATGTATGCTATTGTAGACACCAAGCCATCCACCAACTTCAATTTGACAAGTCTGGGTATCGAAGGGAAACTTGTAAATGTTTATGGGACACTTTGTTTGCATTGTACCCGAGGGAAGCCATTGAATAGTTCCCTGACTGGTAACCACCAGAGACCCTTCATTACGCAGGAGCTCTTCTCCCTTGATACTATTTGCTATAATCAATTCAGGTTTCCAGAATTTGTTCGAGTCCGCAAGAATACTTTTCTCTGAGCTCAACGAAGCATTCCAAACAACACGATGGTCATACCACGAGAAGACCATCCGCATACTGCTGCTGAGAAACTGTTTTTTATTATCCAGTTCTTGCACAGATAACAATCCTGCTGTAAAGGTAACGTTAACGACATTGCTTGGCTTATGATGGGCTTTGTAGCCTTGTAAGATGGCGTCAATTACTTCTCCGTCAGACATTAAGCATGTGCTCCATGGTGCAACATGGAGGATGCATGTCAACATAACAACATTCCTGGCGTTCAGCATATTCTCAGGCGTATGTTTAAGTCCAGGAGTTACGAATGAATGAAAGGTTTCTGAGTTCGTGTGTATTTATGAAATATCATGATTGTTTGTTTCCATGGTGATGACATTAAACACAATCTAACCCTCTGAAACGCAAGTCAGCTATTTTACGTTTCTGTCCAATGACATTCATGCGCTTGGTACATGACTGTTAATGTAAACCATGGTTCAATTTAGGACCTTAAATAATATTATTTTATATTATTTTAACACGAGAAGTACAGGATGAGTTCACATGGATCAATAAGATTACTTTGCTCTCAGTAAATAAAAGCTTCACAATCTCTTAAATTAATCAATAATTCTTGCTTATATCATATACATGGTGCAGTGTCACTGATGCATCTAGTTTGGAAGTTTACGCCAGGTTTACAAATGAAAGCTATACAGAGGCTTCAAATCTTATAACACAAACCGGGGCGGTGGGGTAGCCTAGTGGTTAAAGCGTTGGCTCGTCACGCCGAAGACCCGGGTTCGATTCCCCACATGGGCACAATGTGTTAAGCCCATTGCTGGTGTCCCCCGCCGTGATATTGCTGGAATATTGCTAAAAGCGGCGTAAAACTAAACTCAGTCAGTCAGTCAGTCAGTATAACACAAACCAAGCAAAAGACGCTGTAAAAAGGGTGATTTCAAACAGCTGGGCTGTCACTAAATAAGGAGCAGCTGAGGAGAAAGAGAGAAAATCAATAATAACAACACTTTTTCAGTAAGTGCAAAGGTCAGTGGATGTGATGTCACAGACAAGGGTTGTCTGCTAAGAATCTTTCGTTATTCACCCTGTATGTTCTCTTAACCCAGAACACTCCAACTGCAAGTTTATCAGTATCTTCTTTTAATTTTTGTTGATATTAGGACCATCATTTATTACTACATTGGATGAGTGAGTGAGTATTTTGGCAATATAACGGCGGGTGACACCAGAAATGGGTTTCATACATGTGGGGAAACATATCGGGATCGAACCCAGGTCATCGGAGGGAAAAGTTGTTATTTCGGCAACGGAGTAAGAAAGTACCTATCTACGAGCCAACTGCCCCAACAGCGTCAGTCCCAAACCAACAGGATGTATTTACCAGATCCCCTTCAACTGTGGCCACAAATACATCGGAGAAACCCTCAGACCCCTTAACACCAGACCCAAACAACACCTATCCAATGTAAACAAACCAGACTTGAAATGTGCCATTTCTGAACACATTCTGAAGAACCAAGATCATCACATCATGTTGGAAACTACCAAAGTTCTGTCCACCAACAACGACTGGCCACAAAGAAAACTGCAAGAAGCCATTGACATCAGGAGACACCAGCTAGCCATGAACCGCGACCAAGGAACCTACCTGCCCAGCGTCTGGGACTTATTGCTTTGATCATTGTGTGATGATTGTCTGTACTTATTTCTTTATTAATGTCTGTGCTAATTATTTTGTTCTGGCGTCCATTAATTGTTCTGGCCTCAAATTGTCCACTTCAATTTGTCAATCTCTATTGCGTTTCTCTATTAGTGCTATCACCCATTTGCCCTTTGTCCATTTCCTATATCTTATCCTGGCCTCTAGCTGGCCACTGTTCATCTCATATCAGCACTATTTAACTGTTAAGTGTTGGCTTCTATTCAGCACTAATTAACTGTTAGGGGTTGGTCGCCATACAGCTGACATATTGCTGAGTGCGGTGTTAAACAACAAACCAACCAACCTTCCTGTCGAACGGGTTCGATAGCAGCATTGAGAGGATTAGTGATTCAGTCGAGGTTTACAACTCACTGCTTTAGTTTGACAGTATTATTCCAACTTTATGGCGGCGGTCTGCACATTGTTCTGTCTGGACCTCACAATCTAGTCATCAACAGCATTAGCATCAATCCTCGCAACTGGGATACGATGACCTGTGTCAACCCGGTCAGCGAGACTGACCACCCGAACCCGGTAGTCGCTTTTTACAACAAGCATGGGTTACTGAATACCAATGCCTTTCAGTGCAACCGCACCATGTTCTCGATCTTCGAGTTCAAGGACAATATGAAGTGTCATACCCGAAGTCATTAAAGCCAGAAATAGAGAATCCAGCAATCAACATCATGAGTATCGACCTACGCAATTGGGATACGATGACATGCGTCAATTAAGTCAGCAAACTAGACCACCCAATGCTAGTCGCCTCTTACAAGTGAGCGAGTTTAGTTTTATGCCGCCTCTAGCAATCTTACAGTATTATCACGACGGGGGACACCAGAGTGAGTGAGTGAGTGAGTTTAGTTTTACGCCGCTTTTAGCAATATTCCAGCAATATCACGACGGGGGACACCAGAAATGGGCTTCACATATTGTAGCCATGTTAGGAATCGAAACCGGGTCTTCGGCGTGACGAACGAACGCTTTAACCACTAGGCTACCCCACCGCCCGGGGACACCAGAAAGCCTCTCACGAGTATCTGTGGGTATAAAACCTCTTATAGTTGTAGCTTTTACATCTACAACTGTGATAACTACTTCACTGTTTTATTGTCCATTGTAGACATGTATTGAACGATAACTAACTCGTTCTCATAGGGATATAGCTGCAATATTGCCGATGCCATGTACAGCTTTAACGCACTCACTCACATACAAGCATGAGCAGCGGAAGACGCTTTTCTTCGTGAGTATCTTATATGTAAACCATAAATAGCCAAGTCACGGATCTAAAGAAGTGAATAGGTTCAAATCAACTGCATAATGGTATAATGGCAGCTGGTATATCGTTGACTGAGTTGCGAAAACATTTACTCATTTGTGTGATTGAGATGCTTACAAATATCAAACTGCTGGATAGCATTGATCGTAATGAAAACCTTGACAACTGAATTCTGGTATTGTGCTAACATTTCCAATATATTTGTATAACAAGAACATCAGGATCTCATTTCTGATTTACGCTGTGCACTATATTTACAGAACAATTTTAAACTTGCAGTTGAGGTCTTTGCAAATATCCCCAAAGCTACTAATTCACTCCGGATTGCACATATAGAAGTCCAATGTAGGTAGTGTCCTGCTTGCTTAATCGATGTATAAAATAAAACGTTATCATCGAGGACAATCTGTACTTAATCAGATTAAACTGGACATTAAAAGCAAAATGGCGCCAGCGGTGTTCGCAAATAGATTGGCATGACCTGCCAAACCGTTTAGAAAAAAATATTTAAATTCTTTGTTGCCTGACGCTACAACAGTAGTTCTGCCGCCATAGTTCATGATAAGACCAGACCATTTAGCGATTCGATAACATATTCACTGATTTTGCTGCAAGATGAAATATGTTGATTTTGAATTACATATGATCTGTACAAGCGCAGAGACTAATGAGTATTAGTAAAGTATCTTCTTTACGATCAATTGCTATATTTAAAGGTCACATGCAACCAAAAAATCAAACATAATTAAAACACAATTATCACTTCTTCATGACATATAATATGATTATGAAAAAACAAATAAACAAAATTATAAGCGTATAATCGCAAATCAAAAGTGCAATATTTTGTACTTAGGTTTACCTCCCTCGAAACGAAGAAGCCGGGATACCGAACCCAGTCAGAGCGGGTGGGTGTGCACTCAAGTGTAACGGCTGGTTCATTAGCAGATGCCGCTGATTGGTGTTAAGTTCAAATTGCATGTGGTCAGTGATCGCAGTTGTGTATTGAATATTGTCATTAGCAGACAGGCAGGCAGACACACAGGTGTCAATAAAACAAGACATTGAGTTTTGTCTGTGACAGCGACATCTCTATATCACAGTTAGAAATTGTGTCAACGCTAAATAATGACATTGCTTTTAAGTATCGAACTGAGAAAGTGACTCGGTAAGAAGAACGTGTGGTGAAATAGACAAATGAAATTATATAAACAGTTTATTTACTGTCATAACATATAAAAAGCTCGCGCCTGTGAGATATCAACAAAACATTATGAAAATAGCTCACACCAAAGCCTTCACCGAGTATTCACCAGACAGCCCGCTTCCAAGTTGCGCGAACCTATTTCACTGCGCACGTGCTATGAGCGCAGCCCAGCTGTTGAAACCCGTATTCCCCAGAAAAGTCTGGGGAAAATTAGTGAAACGTTTGAACTCCGATTTCGCGCGTTTTTTTTCCATCGCGTTATTTTTCAACTTTATATGTTGAATTTGCATTCTTGGCCCTTTGACTCGGTAAGTCCATACCGAAAGGTATCAGAATCTGCAAAGTTGTGTTTTACGTTGCATGTGACCTTTAACAAAATATGTGAGAGTTAATGTAGTTATTTTACTGTCCTTTGATGACAAGTGAGTGAGTCAGTTTAGCAATATTCCAGCAATATCACGGCGGGGACACCAGAAATGGGCTTCACACAGTGTACCCAGGTTGGGAATCGACCCGGGTCTTCGGCGTG